TCTATCTATCTATCTATCTATCTATCTATCTATCTATCTATCTATCTATCTATCTATTTACATTGTTTATATCAGCACCAGGCTATGCTTTGGTTCTGAGTCATGGCTTAGAGTACAGATTCTTAACCTGGTGCCTATGAAGGCTATAAAACGTCTAAATGCATCTTATCATCTCCAAAGGCAAATCTGTGTCTCCAGGCTATGGTGGCACACAAACCTTTATTACCATCACTCTGGAGGCAGAGTCAAGGTGTATTTTTGTGAGTTTGAGGCCAGCCTGGTCTACAGAGTGAATTTCAGAATAGCCAGAGATACAAAGAGAAACTCTCTCTCAAAGCTTCCCTCCCCCACAAAGAAAAGAAAGAGGTTTCATTATTAATACAAAGTGCAATATTAGACACAGGCTTATCTGACTCAAATACTAAGGAAGAAATATTTTCAATTGCAGCATGATATCTGTGCTTTGAGAGCTGTCAGAACTGAAAGTTGCTGGGCTACGGAGAGGATGCTGTCTTTTTTTTGTTTTTTGACCTGAATGCCCAAAGCAGGGAATAGGAAACGATGTCCCCAAGGGCCACAGCAATAGAACAAAATGGAAGTGTGTGTGTTATTGGGGATGGCCAGACAGAGCTCTTAATGTCTTGCCCATCAGCCTTCTTTAACGCTCCCCAGCAGTTCACACAGGCGGCAGCGCAAGGACTGCCCACATTGTAGAGGCTGAGTGCCTATGGAAAGGCGAAGTTTTGCTGACTTATACAAGGTGAAAGTATCACGAACACAGTGGCGTTGGCTTGGGGACAGAGAGGCAGAAAAGAGCCAAAGTGAAAATTCTCTGCATACATATCTCAAGCTTCACTAAGTCCCATCCCACCTATTCTCCTTGGCTGAGATGAAAATCTGTTAGTGTTGCTAAGGTTTAGAGTGACATGAAACCCTCAAGTCCTGACTCCATTTTGGACCATCAGTCTAAAAGTCAAGCAGTCTCATTGGTTTCTGAAGATAGTCACTTGTTTCCAGGCCTCTTAGAAAACAAAAGGGTGTCAGGATGCCTTGCTGGGCTCCGGCACTTCTAAGATGTGTAATATTCAGGGCATAACTTAGCCTACTTATATGTGATTTTGGTGAGAAAGTACGATTAGCCTTAAAATGGACCTCTACAGCGTGTGACTGCGGTTGCACTAGCTGGTGGGCTGTCAGTGGGAACATATCACCGTGTGAGCAGATTTAGCAACTGCTCTGGTATTCACTCTGAGCTGGAATATTTCACATATCTATATGGCAGCCGGGGTTTCAAGGAATTCAATGCTGAAGCCCTGCAGAGCAGGGGGTGCTTAAGCAATCTCTACAAAGCTCTGTTTCCAGTCTCCGCATCACTCTTCGGGTTAGAATGCAGAGACACAGACTCCACTGGCAGCCCACTTATCTTTCTTTTACTTAAAACTGTGTATGACTTTGCTGTGATCTAGGTTCTTGCATCTAAAAAAGGAAATAACAATATATCAAATGCATAATTTGTAAAAAAAAGTAGATGAAGTTTCATAAATGTGTGGAAATTTAAAGTTGTCACTACATGTCCAAATCATGACAGTGAATGAAAATATTTCATAAACAAAAAAATTTGTTTCTACATATATATGAATAAAACTTTATGCAGCATTGTAAATTCCTAAAACTCTTAAGAAATTAGATGATGATAATGATCAAAGTGTTGTGTGTGTGTGTGTGTGTGTGTGTGTGTGTGTGTGTGTGTGTGTGTTAGGGGGTGATATGTGCTTGAAGAATTGGTTCTTCCACCTTTACTTGGGTTCCAGATGTTGAATTGACATTGACAGGCTAGAGGAATACAAACCTCTATCCTCATAGCTGCTTCTCTGGCTCCAGTATTGGACGGTAGCATAGTTTTGAGATAGAGAAGGCATGCTATCTTACAGATTTCATAGTGAGTCCTTCTGGGTTAATGTTTATTCCCCTTATGATATAGCACAGCTATGCAACCGTGATTCAGAATAAGAACCCTGGTAGTTGCTTTTTGCTTTGCTTCTTACTAGCTTTACAGACTTGGACAGGTCACTGGTTTCCAATTTGCATATTTGTGACATGGAAAGGGTAAATACTATTCCCCCTGCCTGACTCAAGAGAAAACTATGTAACACACTAGAAAATAAAGGAAGGTCATGTTTATAGAAAGCTTTCACTGAAAAGGCAAAGCCTTGAGCAAAAATTCTTCTATCTACTGTATTCTTCCATGTTCTATCTAAGGCTATAAATTGATAATGATTTCTACGCATTCCACAGGTGCAGAAACTGGAGAGCAGGGGGATTATGGGAATTATTTAATTCATAAACCTGTTGTCACAGGGAAGATCCCAGATGTGAACCATAAACCAAGTGCCTCTACCAGTAACAATAAAATGATGTGTATATCTTTCTGTTCCTATTGACGTTAGTATTCTGCTTTTGTTTCCTATTCCTTTACCTTCTTTTCTTCTCTGTCTTGCTTCTATATTAGGTATCAAGTGCGCTGTAGTTGGCCACGATTCACTCTAGCGACATTCAGTATTGCTAAGAAACAAGTCAGAGATCCCGAAAGATAACGGTTACAGTGCAGCACATGGTCAATATCGGACTGTCTCCGGTAATTCACAGAGTAGTTCTGAAATAATTCCCTAAATATTGTAACTATATATTAGTTAGAGGGACCCTGCATGCTCTTTGGGAGTAAGACATGTACATAAATAACTGTAATATAGACAGGAGTCATCATATGTAAGAAGCAAGATATAAATATAAGGAGCATTCAGAGGAGAAAATAAATTAATGCCAGATGAAAGGTTCTTGATTTTACATCAATGCCAGCTAATGCTTGTACTTGCCTCTTTCTACGGCCCCAGAATAACCCAGCATATTGTCACTCACTGAGCAAAGGGGTTGGGTGGAATGAAGCGTTAAAAGACAGGCAGTTAGACTTGGGAACAGAGTCAAAGTAAGTATAGATATATCCCCCCCGCTTCAGATTTCCTCTCAAGATCTAATCCCTTTGAGCTTCATAAAGCTAAGGAATATTTACTGTAAAAGCATATCCTTAGATGGCTAGAGGGAGGAGAGGAGATGCACAGGGGAATCTTCTCATTTTTCACAGATGTTGATTTCATGTTCCCACCTGGTAAGAGCCTAGGGGCCTGAGCAGAAAGATGCAGGTTGGAACCTGGAGAGGCAAACAGAACTAGCCACAGCATCCAGAGATGGAATTAGAAAATCTCTAAAACTTTTTCCAGTGGCTAAATAAAAATCTCGTCCTCTCTTTTCAGTTTCTCTCTCTCTCTTTTCTTCTTTTTTCCTATTTACTGAAATTTGGAAACAGCCACAGAAAGCCCTGACTACATAAAGGTCTCATCTATAGAAAAAAAAAGTCATCTTTTTAAACCTACTAACTAAACAACATTATATAGCTTCTAGTGTTTTATTTAGCAATAGCCATGGGTAGACAATAAGGAAGATTTTTAAGTCGTGGGTAATGAAAATAATAAATGACACGCTTTCCAGATTAAGTTCTGGATTCCTTCCAGAACACCCTAGAAATACATTCAGAAAGCACCGAGAAATGCAGCGCACTGGAACTTCAGAGCCCACGAGGCATTCCGTGGGAGGCTGCTAGGAAGACCACAATTACAACAGCAACAAGGTTCATTTCACTCACTTTCCAGACCCACACATCTCCAAAGCACGAAAAATCGTGATCTCCGAAGGAAAATAAATACAGCTTACAAACAAGGCTGGGAAAGGGCGGGGAACGGAATGGGATTGGGGGTGGGGAGACAAACCCTTCAGTCGCAATCTTTTCGGGAGGGGGAAAGAAAAATAAGACAAATTTCAAATCAAGTTGCTCCTCGAGACTACAAAAGCGGTTTGGAATGTTAGGCGGATGCAAAAGGAATAAAGCAAACGTGGAGGGGGTGAAAAAGGAGGCCGATAAAGTTTCTGGCTACAAGACAAGAGACGTATCATTACCATATGATCTAATGTGGGTGTCAGCTGGCTGTGCTCTTTGAGTGAAACCTTCGTTTTTAACTCTGCTATGGAGTAGAAGCTGGAGGTTTTCAGCCTAGTGACAGTCACAGCGCAGCACGCCCCCCTCCTCCTTTCCACACCTGCGAACTCTTTTGCTCGGGCTGAATATCTAGTGTAATTACATCTCAGCTCTGAGGGCTCCCGTGGCAAAGACCCGGATTAAAAGGTATGGCTTTCAATAATTGTCCTGAATTTTGCTACAGGCTAATAAAACTTCCGTCAAGTGGAGGGCGGAAAGAAATACCCGGTGAGAGAGAGAGAAACGAGGAAGAACTCGTGCTAAACTTTTGACAATCTTTATACAACCTTAGAAGCAGGAGTTGCTTGAAAACAGAAATTAAGTACTCGGGAAAATAATCGTTTGAATGCATTGTTTTACTGCTTTCTCTTCTATTCTTGCAAAGATGCATATTAAAAATCTATAACTTAACACCATGACTGCCTATGCTGAGGTTTTTGCATTTGTGCTGATGAAATATTCTGCTCGTTATGAACTGCTAATAGAAAAACATTCTAAGCTAGCCCACTGCGTGTGCCTTGATGAGCTCTTTGAGATTTATTCCCCTCCTGGATTCTTGCGTACTTCACGAATCTTAAAAAGCCTCAGCAAGTGCCTAGCTATAGAGATATAAAGTCTATTTCTGCAACACCGAAAATGAATCAGAATTATTACCAAAGAGGTGAAAAGCTACACTGGAAATAACTTCAAAATAGTGTTAAATAACTTTAACATTGCAATGTTAAAGCATACTTTCTTGGATATAAATAAATATTCCTGTCAATGTATTCAGTGCAAATGAAACTTTCTTAAGAGGTGCAGTGACTAGGAGGTGAGGGTGGGGTTGATTCTCATTTTAAGGTTAAGCAACGTAACCAGATGGGTTAAGTGTGCCCCCAGTGATCTCAGTGTCTTTGACTTTTTCTTCCTGTTGATATTTATTTTACCAGACAAAAAGAAAAGGAAAACAAAACTTGAGTTTTATAGTGCCTCTTGCTTATAGACAAATACTACTCTGATTGCCTATCTTTTAATTATTTCTATTAAATAATTACTGAAGGAAATCTCCCAAATACTGGGGGCATTTAAAAATTGTTCTGTATTAGCAGATTGTCTTGCCACTTAAGTGTTAAGTTTTGACTTTGAAGCAACCACGAAAAGTATAAACATGTTTATACAGATGTTACTCTGGATGATATGCCTAATTAAATAGGGGCCAGAAATAATACTTTTGATGAGGCATTTCTAAACTACAGCAACTGTTATTAGTGGAAGAGCAACTTTATAAATATTTGAGAGTAACAGTTCCCATGAGATATAAAAAGTGTGTCTCATCTGTTACAGCCTCTTTTTTTTGTGTATGGACAACCTCTTTTTTTGAGGTTCTATTTGCTATTTATCACAGAGAAAAATCACTGAAACAATGGTGAGGACCCTTACCAAATATTTATTAATTGCTCCATCATGCTGAAACTTTGAATATTATAAAATATTATATTAAAGGATTTTATGAAAATTCGAATAAAAATTTTAGGTATGCATATTCTCTCTCTCTCTCTCTCTCTCTCTCTCTCTCTCTGTGTGTGTGTGTGTGTGTGTGTGAGAGAGAGAGAGAGAGAGAGAGAGAGAGAAGAGAGCAAGTAGCCGAAATGGTATGCAGTCTGACTGTAGCCAGCTTTAATCTAAAGGAAGGTTGTACAGAGAATGTGCACTATTTTAACAAGGGTAAACAAATATAAACGATGAGGGTTCCTCTGAGCCAGGGGCTCAACATTTCCTTTTTTGGGTTGTTAGGGAAGCTACCAGGCATCTCTGCTCTGGGGAACGGATTACCAAGAGACATCTGCACTAACTCTCCTTACCCTTTATTAAAGCTGAGATTACTTTGACTCATGCTTTCCTCCTAAAATTATAAGACATTAAATATGTGAGGCCAGCAAACCTGTGGTAAACCATAAACATTGTATTTCAATGTGAAATGGTTAGAAGGCGTCTCCTTTATGGCCATCCAAGTAAACTTCTTGCCAAAACAATAACCTCCCTTTAAGAGAGACTCAGTAACTCAGTGGGAATGGCCTGCTAGAAGACACTTTTTATTGAACTTGGGGGCAGTTAAGTGAATTACAATCTTTATGGTCTTTTTAATTGATAACAAAATCCTGGATGGGGTGTGCTGTTTTATACATACTCCAGTGTTCCTGGAGTAATGCTACAGTATTTAGACACACTCCAGTAAACTAAGAATAAAGGGGGAATTTTTAAAGTTACAAAACATTTGTTTTTCTGCTAGTGGATCAGGTAAAAGTGTCTAGGCTATAGATACGGTATCTGGTCAAAGATGCTGTTTTCTTTTCTTTTATGGTAGCTATGATGGACAGCTGTGGATTTGCATTTACAGCGGGACAGCTATACAAGAGTAAATGGATAATTCTAGGTTGAGATCAAGAGTCTAAAAGAAACACTGACAATATGTTTGGTGGTGACTTCTAAGAGCTGCAGAGAGATCTCCGGCCATACCATTTCAAAATAGGTTGCTTGATCTCTGTTTAAGCAAATGTATTTTGTTATTTAGACTGTCCATTTGGCGTTATTTCATTAATATCTAAATAATTTGACATTTGGTGTAAATATACACTTTGTGTTTTAATGCCTCAGACCAGTTTGGTTTCTTGGAACCAGCAGAATACACTGTATTGTTAAGAAACTGATGGTTAGCTGAGTCATTCGTGTTCAAAATATTGTGCAAGGCGTACAGAACAAGGAATAATTAGTCACGCCCCGAGGAAGAACATCCGCTAATGTGGGGGACAGAGTGAACACACAAAACACATTATAATATGTGATAAGTTCATTAAAAGAGGTCAGAACAGCATACTTGGGATCCCAGAAGACGCAGGGAGCAAACTCCTTGGATGAGTCAGGAATTACAGGAGGGAAAGCCAGAATCTCGCATAACCATTTAACGTTCCTCGGAAGGTAGGTAAGCAAAATGGTAAGGGGGGTCTGTGCGTCAGGGTTGAGTATGTCCTTGAGGGAGAGAGAAAGAAATGAAGAGAAAGGTAGCTTTAGGTATCAATTGGTACCAAATAAGGAACGGCTTCATGGGCAACTCAGGAAACATGGTTATCACTGATAACTCAAGTGTTAGACAGTGACTTGGGCAGCAATGTGGAAGACGGTCTGGGATAACAGAAATGTTCAGGGCAGAAATGTGTAGGATCCTCTCACAACAACTTAAGGAGGGGGGGAGAAACCATAGACCGAGGCAAATGCAGGAGCATCTGGGGACGAACGTGACTTGATGAGGTGTCTCGGGTTGGACTTGGAGATGTCTCAGTGTATAGGCAGAGGTTTGATCGTGGTACGGCACTGCTGAGTGAGCAGGGAAAATACCGACATGATTTCTTATTCACAAACAACTGGCCAGTGATGTGGCAACTCATCCTTTAAATCCAGGCCACAAAATGAAGCAAGCGATTTTAGTACCGTTTGGATTGCTCCTGGTAAGCAAAGGGTGTATGTGTCCTATAGTCGCCTTTACCGCCTTTCAAAGACTTTTGGAATGCCTGACTTCATCACAGTGTTATTTTTTGTTACTATACGTTTTCTTTATTTGTCTCTGTACTTACTCTGCTATGGGATATTTTGCAAGCAAAAAATAATGCATGAATTAAGTGACAACCTCGCTCCCCGTAATCCCTTCACTTTGCTTTTCAGGTCCCCAGGTTGTGAAAATACGTGAGCTAATTATGAAGACAACTCTCCTCTTACTCCTTCTGGCTCAAGTCTCTTGGGCTGGACCATTTGAACAGAGAGGCTTATTCGACTTCATGCTAGAAGATGAGGCTTCTGGGGCAGGCCCTGAAGACTCTGGTCTTCCTCCTGATCTGCCACACCTGGAGCCCCTGGGACCTGTGTGTCCCTTCCGCTGCCAATGTCATCTTCGAGTGGTCCAGTGTTCTGACTTGGGTAAGTGAGTCCGGACAACCTTGTGCATCTTCTTCAATGAAGTGGGAAGTCTCGGTGATTGGCATTTTCAGGATTTATCTATGTGATTCCAGAAGTGAGAGACAGCGCCACCTAACGAGGAGTAAAGAAAGCTGTCGGAGAAAGAGAATTGAGACTAGGACTCATGTTTTTCCTTCACACTGCAACCAACACCCCTCCCACACGTACACACAAGCTCTTAAATCGGTTCCATCAATTCTGCAGTTTGCAATGAATCTTTTAAAAGTAAAGCCATTCGGACTTTAATAGACCCCCTTTTACAAAGTAAAACGTCTACCAATGTCTCTTCTTGTAGTCTGTTTCCAGGGATTCTTTTCCTGTTGGTGCTTTGTTTGTTTGTTTCGCTTTTAGTTCTCTATTTGTTTTTTTAAGATGGTGGATACTAGGAGAGCCTGGACGGGCTCTTTACTCTTTACAAGGTCCAGGCAACAGAATTAAACATTACTAACTTGCAAAATATGCAGTTGTCAGAAACGAAATGAGTTGGATTGTGCAACAGAAATTTATCTTCCAGATACATAAGTTTCCCTTTCTCCTCCCGTCTTGGTTTTCTTCTTCTTTGACAGTTTGCAGCCAAGATGCTTATGGTCTTTAGAAAATTTCCAAAGAAATAACTAGTACTATAGTATAATGTAAATATCCGAAATAATCTTGGAGCCTGAAACTCTAGCCTAATACACTAAAGACAGCTGGCTTATCCCTTTAAAAGTAAAAAATGGCCTGGAATTCCAAGAACCACATGCTTCAAAGACAAATATTCAGAGAGTTTGAAGGCTCAGTGGTTGGGCCAAAGGTCAGTGAGCTTGATTCCCATGTCAGCTGTTTTTCCTTTCTTCCTCTCACTTGTATATTTTCTTGTTTTCAATTTATTAGATTTTTTTAAAAAAAATACCAATTCAAGTTCCCATTTCCTCCTTTCCTCCCATTTGCTCCACACACCCTCCCACCTCACCCCCATATAATCCTCAGAGAGGGTAAGGCACTTTGCTTTGTGGAAGGTCCAAGGCCCTCCCTACTATATCTAGGCTGAGCAAGGTATATATCCAAAGGGAACAGGATCTCAAAATGTCAACACATGCAGTAGGAATATTCCTGGTTCCACTACCAGTGGCCCCTCAGTATGCCCCAGCCATGCAACTGTCAGTCACAGAGGGTCTAGTTTGGTCCTATGCTGGTTCCTTCCCAGTCCAGCTGGAGTTGGTGATTTCCCATTAGCTCAGGCCAACTGTTTCAGTGGGTGAACCCATCATGGTCTTGACCTCCTTGCTCCTATTCTCATTCCTTCCACTCTTCAGCTGGACTTGGGAGCTCAGTCCAGTGCTCTGGAAAAGATAATCCCAGGACTGGCATTTTGCTGTGCATCTTTCCTTATGAAATGGATATCACAACATAAGAAGGCATATCTCTGAGGAGACCCATATTTATTCAGGCCAATTTGCTAGTCATATTTTGAAGAGAAATGGCCACTAATATTAACCAAAGGAATAGCTACACAAAGGAGCTCAGAAAAACATTGAAATGGTTCAATATCAATAATGGAGAAACATTTATCTCAATCATCTTCAGTGCTAACACAAGCTGTACCTCACTTTAACTCTCCAGTGAGAGTGTATATGAATGCTTTCCAAAGGCTACAGATGGCTCACTGATCCATTCATTAATCCGGTACCTGCACTCTATGATGAATCAGTGGTGTTTTAGGTGTGGAACTGTCAATTATTATCAGTTTCCATGGTTAAGTTTTCTATAGGATTATCCTTGTCAGAGGTTTTAACAAGATAGAGGAGATACAATATCCAATCTTTGATCAATATTACCCATATGTGATTTCAGTATAAGCAGACGTTTTCAGTTTAAATGCTTGACTTTGTGTTTACTAAGTCTAAAAGCTAAGAGTTCTTTGTGTTGATGTTAAACATTGATTCCTTTCCCAGGCGAGAAATTAAAATTGAGAAACTAAAGCCCTCTCACGTGTCACTGAGGAAGTGTAAACACTTCTGGACGATGCACAGAATGTTAGGCCCTAGTTATGTCTCATTATCTCTCTTCAGAGTACCATCGTTTCATTACAAGCTTATGTAGGCTACAGAGGACTGAGAAAGTAAACATGAATTGGCCATAGATAGTGGCCAAATTCTTTTGCAGATTCTGTTGCAATTTAGTTTTTGAGTAGAACCAGAATCCAGTGTGAGACCCGGAGTTTCTCTTCTACCTTTATCAGATAAAGATCATTTTATTGACAAACCAAGCAGCAAATGTAGTCTTAACTAATTCAGAAGTTCAGTCATTATCTTAAAATAATAAATGGTAAGTAAAACTTGTTCCTTTTATATTTACTCTTAATAAATTTATGGTTTTGTAAAATGTGGATACATTATGGGTACCATGTAATACTTTGGTACACATATACACTGAGTGAAATGTCAGTCTGTTAAACAAGCCCATCTTCTCAAACACTTATTCCTATCTCGTGAAAAACTCTTTTCAGATCCTTCCTCTTGCCTTCTGAAGTATATAGTACAATGTAGGTATCTAGAGTTGACTGGGTATAACCTCCTTTAACATCCTTCCCTAACTGAACTTAGTAACCATAGATCTTCAGACTGTCCTCACTCACCCATTCTGCCCAGCCCTTGATTATTACCTTCTACACTAAACTTCCTGTAAGACCAGTTTGCTTATGTTCCATACAGGAGTGAGATCGTTCAATATCTGTCTTTCTGTTCCTTGTTTGTTTCACTGAAGGCAACTCTCCAATTTCATTCATGTTGCAAAAGACAGAATTTCACAGTTTTGAATGAGCAGCAGTCCCTTGTATACATGCAGCACAATTTTCCTAACTATTCATCACTTAATGCATATGAGAAATAGGATTGTAACAAATTTTAAAGCTTTGGTTTAGAAAACAAATCAGTAGAGGGAAGAGGCAGCCTACACAGTGGGAAAACATCTTTGCTAGCTATACAACTGGACAACGGTTTTTCCAGAACATAAAAGGAACTCCAAAAATCCAAAAAGTCTGTTTTCTTATTTAGTGAATGGATATGCATTTTTATTTTGCTAGAAAATAACTGAAAAATACATGTAAACATTCTTACAAAGATAACTTTGATATTCAGGATACAATCTCATTGATAAGCAAAAGCTGACTATCTCATATGTGCAAGGCTCATGAAGCTGTACAAAGTCAGATGTGGTGGTAAAAGCCTATACTCCCAGATACTCAGGACACCCATGATGAAGGGTTTGTCATTTCAAGGCCTATTTGGGTTTCGGCTACAGAGAGAGACAGAGGCCTAGGGAAGCAGATCAAAGATCATTATAGGCAAATAGGGAGATAACCAAATAAATAGTAAAGATATGCTCCCGTGACCTATCACCTGCTTTTATACACATTGCCGATTAGCTTTGGCTGAAACTGACAGTGGTTAGCCATCAAATTGAACCTTAGCTCTAATGTATTTCCGTCTTTGTGTTTGAAATGAGAACAGAGAGACTCAAGTGTGTTACGTGGGAATTCATTCATCTTGAATTCATAGTTGGATTAATTTTAATACAAATAATTCTGAAGTCAAAAGTGGTTTTAAAATAGCTGATATCTTATTGACTTACAAAAACCTGGAGCCTCCTTTGTCTCCATTAAATAGAATGAAGTTGATTAGGAGCATACTTGGTCTATAATCATTTGCTGGGAAGGATGAGCTAACTGAACTGAAGGTTTCCTATCCACACACGGACCTATGTAGTTAAACTCTGAAAGACCTGGACTTCATGGAACAACCATCAACACAACAGTAGTCTTCACTGACAAAACGAACCAGAACCAACAGAGGGCTAAGATGTTTACATGAGAAATCTGGGTTTGACATACTTGCAAAATAGATGGTAATCTCTCTGATAACATTTATTAATCATTGTAATGTACTGAAGATAAAAAACAGAGAGACAGACTCTAACCATCAGCAAAACAATTAGTCTAATTTCTTTCTTATTGACACTAATATGATGCTGAACGCCTTTAATGGGAGGAACGTGAATCAAATAATCCCAAGCTAACTTCGAATAGAGTGCTTTAAGGTTTTCTTTATTAAGAGGGAAAACTCATGGAAAAGGAACAGGGGTCCAACATCAAGATGTGGAGCTCAGGAAGGAAGGGCAAGTGGGCAAACCGCGGCCTTTTGGTACCTCAAAGTCACGCCTCAAGTTGGTCTGGCTTCTCCAAGGTCATTGACTTCCCATGACTAATCCTAGATAACTAGAATTGAGATTGGTTCTATGCTGTGATAAACAATTGATTTGCTGTACAGTTTACTGATTTCTCACAAAAGTCCTGTGAAAGGTGGCATCCAAGTACACATTTCAGGACACAGACAGCTGGTGCAGCTTACTTTTTGGCCATAATATGACCAAGATGAAAAACAGTGATTGAAATTGAAATCACAAGAATGAAATTATATTAATGTCTTTAAATAACCAATTGCATAGACTAAGATAACATCTCAGAGGTTAAGATGACTTGTTGCTCTTGACAAGTCATGTTGAATTCCCAGTACTCACATGGTAGTTCACAACCCTCTGTAGCTCTAGTTCCAGGAGAGATCCAATGTTCACTGCAGCACAAGAAATACATGTAATGCAAAAACATACATGCAGGCAAAACATCCACAGACTTATAAATCAATCAATAAACCTTAATGCTTTCTTCAAAAGATGAAAGATATTTTTTACCTTCCTGGAGAACTTCAACTAGTCTCAAGGGATAAAACTACTATGTTCTCCTCTTTCAAGTAACTTTGAGGTGCATTCCAGACATTTTATAAAATACATACCAAGTAAATGTATTTTGTAATACATAAAGAAGTCAATAATGAAAATTAAATAAAACAGTCACAACCAGTTAACAACTAAAATTCACAATCTCTCAATGTATATATTTCCAATGATTGCATAAATACTGAAATGTTTATTATACATCTAGTTAATGTTTAAAATAATCCAAATCTAGTTCACACATTGAACAGTTCTGAGGAGAGGTTTGTGTGACCAGTGACTAAATTCAAGGTCTTGCGTGTGCTAAAGTACATGCTCTTCCACTGAGCTCTGAACTGGGACCACTTATCATTTTTAAAAATTAATCTTAAATCTCCTTTAAAATCAATTTCCACAAATTTTCCTTTGTCCTTCCAAGCCATTTCAAAAAAATGAGGTTTTTATTGGTTTTACATTTGTTATATTATCTTGACTCATTTCAAATGAAAATTTAGACCTATTAGTCAAATTTGAGATTAATTGTGTGTGTTGGTTTTGCTCAATATCTGTCCATAAATTTGTATTTGTTTCACCATCTATCATAATACAGTCTGTGTAAGGAAGGTATTTTTCATTTTTATTTTTTTTATTTCTAGAAACAGGGTTTCTCTGTGTAACAGTCCTAGCTGTCCTGGAATTTGCTCTGTAGACTAGGCTGGCTTTGAACTCACAGAGATCTGCCTGTCTCTGCCTCCTGAGTGCTGGGATTCAAAGCATGTGCCACCACCACCTGACACAATGGAGCTATTAATACTGACCCAGGGCCGGTAAAACAGAAAGAAGAATCTTCCACAGGTGCACATGGGTGACTGAAGATGCCATAAGATACACCACCGTCAAGGAAAAGCGAGCAATTCATAGGTGGGAACAACAGAAATGACAGGATTGACAGGAAGAAAAATTGGATAACTGAAAATTCGGACCAAAAGGAAAGCTTCTAAAGCCAGTTTTGTCATAATACATTGGAGGACAAGGAAAACCTTGAGGAAAAATAGGATCTAGAGAGATTCCACAATGCAGCACAGTAGAAAAGCATCCAAGGCTCTATTGATGAACTCTTCAGTGTAGGATCACAAGGAAGCTGGATGTTTTAATTGATGTGTCAGAAAGAAACCTGCGTATAGCCAGAATATGTTCATAATGGAAAGCAAAACAAATAGTTAGTGACAACAACAACACCTCGCTGTTAACTCTGAATTTGCAGGTGAGCATGCAAAGATTCTAAAAAGATAAGAGTGCGTGCATCAGTCTGTGGTTTTAAGGAGCTTGGGCTCAAGGCATCGCTGCTCCATGGTGGGGTGTGGATGAGAATTTAAAAAGGACAATGAGTAAACTCTAACGGGATATAGAATTAGAGCCATGGCTGCATTGAGTTTCCCAACAAACATCCCTGGTGTGAACCAAAATGAATTTCTAGGGATGACCATAAGTGCTCCAAATGCAGTAGTGGTCACATATATGACCTTCACACCAGACATGTGTGGAGTGAGGACTCAGACCATGCTGGTTATTGGTCTAGTTTAGCTGCAAACTATTTTGGGAATTTTACTTCTCTTGTCTTGTTTATTCAGAAAAATAAAAAGAGAACTCAATTAGGTTATGCTATCCTCTTCTCTTTTTGCTTCTGAGACATTTTTCTTTTCTTTTAGACAAGGATTCACTATTTAGCACTGACTGGCCTGAACCTTGATATATAAACCAGGCTGTCCTCGAACTTTTAGAGATTTTCCCATTTTTGTCTCCAAGTTCTGGGATTAAACGTATCCACCACCAAGCCAAGCCAAATAAATACTTTTTTCTCTTTGGAATTTTAAAATAGTCTGTCACTTAATACAGTTAAAGCAAAATTTACAAAGATAACACAGCCTTTCAGCAACTGTCAATTCAATTTTAAAAGGAGATCTATTTAAAGAAAAGAAGTAAACTAAAAGCAGAGGATGATCTCAGAATTGTGTGTGTGTGTGTGTGTGTGTGTGAACTTATGTCAAAACTAGTCCAATTAACTAATTTATTTTTCTGATTTTAATGCCGTCTGCTAAAAACTTCATCATAAAGTATACACAAAACAACAGACAAGCTGACAATTAAGATTATTTCCCTTTGGGACATTTTAAGAACTCATATTATGGGTAATTTACCTATTACACTTCTAGCTTTTTTTTAACATGGTGATTAACTGTATGCCACTTTCTTAAGACATGAAATGTATAGAATTTGGAGCAATCTGATATGCGAACTTATTTTCCTTGAGGGTACGGATAAATTTGACACACAAATATCATATTGGGAGCCTGGAGTCTTGTCTATTAGCCACACCTTCTACTCCACACTATAATTTTGTTCATGCCATTAAACCCTTCCTGACAGTCACTAGGTGAAAGAGAGTTACCACACTGCTTTATGTTTCAGCTTCTATCAAGAGCATTCACAAAACAGTTTAATATGTTATCATACTACTGCTATGAATGGCACAGTATAGCATAGTTTTAACCGAAAATAATCTCTAAAGCTATCTAATTCAACGTAATAATAATAAACATCAATACAGGAGGTTCGCCAAATGTGTATAAGTCCGTTAGTAATTCAGAGCAGATACATAAGCGTTAGGATTTTTATCACTAAGGTGGACCTCCAAGATCTAATCTGCAAATATCACAAGTCAGAAAGTGCGTTTTTATGCCAAGTCTTCATCTCTAAAGTTTATAACTCGAATCAATCAGTTTCTATTACAAAGTTCAAGGGTGACAACATGAATAAAACGGTCAGCTGTTCAGAGATGCTCTCCTTCCCTTACACCTGTGAGATTTCTTGTCAGCCTGACAAGTCCAGATGTTAGGACAGCCTCTAGAATCTTAGTTCCCAATTACACAAAAGTAAGCATGTATGGAAATTAAATCCCTGCCAGAAAAGAGAAAATGAGTAATAATGAGACATGGCACTATATTCCAAATGAAAGGAAGTCAAGTCTTCTCGTGGTTGGATCACACTAATTATAAAAGACTTGGCAAAAGTCTGCCTCCTCTGGTTGCATGCAATTAGCAAAATTAGCAAATTGACATTTTTGAAAATGGAAGTGATTATGATTGTGGAGGTACCCTCACAAATCCTCCCACAAGGTAGCTGCTTTGTAGTTTAGTCCTCGGGATTGAAAACATGTCAATCTTACATTATGGGAATTGTGTCTGTAATGAGTTCTGTGTTTATAGAGCATGTGATGCCAGGTGAGTACCCACAGCATCTGATACTGAACTTTATTAAGACACTGGTCATGGACATGAACAATATTTCCTCCCATTGTCATTGGAGTGTTGGTCTGTGGACAAGACCAACAACAATAACAACAAATAAGACCTCAGAAATAAGTGATTTTAAATCTATGTAATTTTTGTGAAAGAAATGAAAAGATTTGAAAGTTAATTGCCATGTGGTTTCTGAGTACATGCTCATTAGATACAAAGAACTGGAAATCTATTCTTCCCAACATAGTAGTTATTATATTTTCTTGTGATTTTAGTTTAAATTGAAAACTGAAGCAAATTATATTTTTATGAGTTACATTTCCAAGTTGGTAGAGTCTGTTTGTTCCAACTGCATCTCTAGTCAAGAAGCAGAGACTTGTCAAAAGAGTAAGAGTCAGAGACTGTAATAGTTCAAGTTGTGTAATGATGGGAAATTTATTTCTGTCAAAAATATTACAGAGTTTTGTTGTGATGCATTGAAAGAAAGAGATTGACACTCTGTGTGAGGATAGAATTTCCAGGTTGTTTTTACTTTATGAAAATAAGATCCTCTCTCTCTCTCTCTCTCTCTCTCTCTCTCTCTCTCTCTCTCTCTCTCTGTGTGTGTGTGTGTGTGTGTGTGTGTGTGTGTGTGTGTGTGTAGGCAGGGGATATGTGCATAGGTGCCCACCTGTTTATATGAATTTGCACTGTGTGTGTATAAGTGTCCATGGACTCAAGAGAGGCCATTTGATTCTCTGTAGCTGGTTTTACAGACTGCTACGATCTCTTGACATAGGTATTGGAAAGTGAACACAGGCCTCCTGTAGAAGCTGTACACACTCTTAGACACTGAACCACCTCTCTGGACTCAAATATCTGGGTTTTATTTTCCTTCCTATACTTCCCCAAAATGAAAATAAAAATATCTAACAAAATTGGTTAAATGACTTGTAAAATATATTTTTTTAAGACCGAGGACCACTTGGCTGTTAAGTGTGTATATTAATATACTGAAAATATACACTCCAAAATGAAAGCTTCATAAAATTAACTTCACATATACCACCATATTTACCCTAATTTAAACTACTATGCCGAAGATCAGTTCGTTATAAAGTGACTATTAAAACTCAAATTGTCCTGGCATTCTCATTAAAAGGAAATTATTGCTCTCCCTAAAGATTGTACAAAATGAGTTTGGTGACAAGTTCAAATGACTTTAAGTTTAAATGCAAATCTATGTCAGTGTTGGATGTATACAAAGGAGGCAGAAACGTGCCTGCAGCCCTCTCTTGATAAGGTGTTTGTATGGACGTGACAGCTTTACATTGCTCTCCTATCAGACATTTATGAAACAGTCATTAAGGCGCAACATGGAGTGGGTGATTTGTGCAGCATCCTAAAAGAAATGCAATTTTTCTCTGTGCAGAAAAACAATTATACTGGAAACAATTTCAGTTTATGACTAAGAAAAAAAAAACCTTGATTTGATTTGAAAATATTTTCAACTATAATTGACGTAAGTATTGGAGAAAAACATGTTGCTGGCAGACCTATCATTGAACTTTAATTTCCTTGTAAACACTTTTTAAGTCAGAAGCAGTTGTAATTCCAGCACTTGGTAGCCTGAGGCAGGAGGATTACAAATATAAGGGTAGCCTACAAGGTGAATATTGTCTCAAAATTTTTTAAAAGATCGATTGTGATTTTGTAGTTCAGAGTTCCTTCTCATAAACTATGTATCCCTGTTTCTTTTACACTAGGTTTGGATAAAGTGCCCAAGGACCTTCCACCTGACACAACATTGCTAGACCTGCAAAACAACAAGATAACTGAGATCAAAGATGGGGACTTCAAGAGCCTGAAGAACCTGCATGTAAGAACTGTTTTACCTTTCTTTTGGTTCATAAGATCAGACTTGAATTATCTTTTCAAAGCAAGCCTACAATAAGACCAAAACTTAGATGTGGTAATAAAATAGCACCCCAGCGTGTGTTTATCGAACTTTCTTTCTGCCGATGGTGAGGAAGCAGAGCAACATATTATATAGTCTTTAAAAGAGAAAAATCACCAAAGTTTCTATGTATAACCCATGTCATGGGTATTTACTTGCTATTTTATGCTTTTGTTTCTTTTATTTGCTGTCATTCATTCTCTATAGAGGTGTGAATAACCTTTGAAATTCTCTTGGTATTAATAGAATAAGGAATTAACATGTTGCCTTTTACAATTTTTTAATGGTAAAATTAAATGTAATTTTACATGTATATGTTCTTATTATATTCTAACGAATAGTTTGTCATGTTGTTTGTGTGTGTATGTGTGTGTGTTTTCACTTATCTCTACTCTAATACCCAATATAGAATATTCATGTTATTGTGTGTATGTATGTGTGTTTCTGTGTGTATGTGTGCTTTAATATCTAATGTGATCAGAAGTATACCAGAAAAAGAAAGACTCTTTCCAATGGATTTCAGGAGCACATTTAATCTTGACCTGTTCCTACACCAGCTGGGAAAGAGCAAGGGGTTGTAAAACATTCGAATCTGAAGAACATAGAAGGTGCAAAACCCATGGGGTAGAACACAAGAAAATCTCACCCCTGGCTTCTCTCAGTTATCTATACTACTGAATCTTTTTCGAGGATTGTAAGAGGACTAGGTTGAGGCCAAGGTCACCTTCCAAAGACACAGGGCAGTACTGAAAACAGCAAAGAATGATGGTCATTGTAGTGCGGAGTGTGTCATGATCAGTTCAGTGTCAAGCTTCTTGAGGCCAACCTTTGTATATGGTCATCTACAGAGGTCACTGGAGTCACAATGAAACTTGTGATCAGGTTTTCAGTTTGATTCCTGTGGGATCGATATGATTCCTCTCAAAATATCAGTGCATACTTAATATAGGTAACCCCGGCATCAATGTTTAAAGCATATTGCCCTATGAAAATATCAATGACTGTGCTCCACTGTCATTTGCATGATCCTTGACAAAGCAAATCAAGGCAGCCTTATAGAGCAAGAGAGGGATGGGCGTGGGGAGAAAGAATATGACTTTTGTGTCCATAACACAATAAATAGAGATGTCTATGTTTACATTGAATGAAGGTGACAATTTATTTGAGACGATTTATTTAAATGAGGAAGAGGGACTACAATGACTTTTGTCAATAATGAGACAACAATTGTTCTAGTGGGAAGAGACTTCAGGGAAGCACATTTTCACTCCACATTAAAATCTAGTTTAAAGAGAATTTCCACAAAGTAGAACTTCTACTACTACGGGATCATAGACATTTTAATTTGATAATGAATATCATAGTAATAAAATGCTGAGGCCTATGGCATTGAATTCACATGTTTTTATTTATTATACTGATTGTAGAACTAATTGAGTAAATGTACAATAAGATAAGCAATATATATGATAAAATACACCATCTGGCTGTTACATATTAGAATAGAAATTATAGATACAAAATTAACAATGATATTTAAGTTAGAATAGGTGGTCTGAAACATTTTAGAGTTATATAGTCAAGACAAGATTTAGTGGTGAATTACTTGACACCCAAGATGACTATAGCCATAAATATTAATGAGACACTATACTAGATTTATAAAAGAATTCAGATATTTTTCTAAAATTATAGATTCTATATTGATGTTGCTAACTAATGTGTAAATTGAAAAAAAATTTAAAAAAGAATTTTAGGATGCAACATTCTTTCAAAAAAATCCTATATCAAATACAGAAAATAGTAGCATATATAAAAACGATGTCGGTCCATGTGTCCCAGCATACACATGTAAGTGGTGAGTGCTAAGAGAAAAATCAGGTTCCATCATATATCCAACTAGCAGACAGTTTTGAGAAAAATGTGACAAAATCGCTTTGAAGGATTAACTCAGTGTAGAAAGGCAAAGAGAAACGAGGGGTTATTGTATAAGAGAAAAGTAAAGGTAGTAGAAAATGACAACTGACAATTAAAAGGAATGCTGCCTGGTGAAAGTTACAGTCTTCCATGCTTGCAGAAAGAACCTGAGCAAGAGCCAGGAGCCTTGCAGCTCTCCCTGCTAGGATACGCCTGAGCATCACTATCCAGCTCACCACCTTCACTCCAAATCTCTGCCAGAGTTGACAGAAAAAGAAGCAGTATTTCTTTGTAATCGTCAAAGAATTCCATTCCATTAAAGTGAAGACAAAGTGCCAGTATAATTTCAATTAACTGAAACAATGTAAAATATGAATGTTCTCTCACAAATTGTATTACAAATCTAAATCTTTTTTTAAGGAAGAAAACTTCCCTTATGATAGCTACAACTTCCTAGACTGAAAAGTATAATGTGGGTCATTTTGGAAAGTTCTTTATAAAGAGAGATCCGGTTTCTGCAAGACTTGATTTCTGCAAGACTTTCTTCAACGCTGCTATAGGTTACTTCCTTTCATAAGCTTCTTTTCAGAAAGTTTGTGAAATAGCTGTCGTCTTGGCAAGTCTCTGCTTCTACTTCAAAGTGTCCATCGGAAGAAGAGGAGAGTTCATGAGAGCCTGTGATCATGCAGGGAATGCCAAACAGCTCTTTTTCTCTCAGCCTTTGATTCTCCATTTCTTCCTTCCTTGTTATTATGCAAACAGACATTATAATTTTGGTTGGGAAAACTGGACCAGAATGACAAGGAAGGAAAGAAAGAAGCAAAAAGTTTAGTAAGGATTAAAATAGAAAAAGTTTCAGGGGAAAACCAAAAGTCCTTTATCTGCGTTATCTGCATTTGCAATTCCGTGGGTTATTGCTTGAGTAGTGTTATACATGTTTTGTATATGTTTAGATGTATATATATACATAACTTTTAAATAATAATAGAGCCATATTTTATATGCTTGTCTGAAGCTACGGCTTAATAAACACAGTAAGGAGTAAGTTTTAAAATAAAAATCAACAAAATCTGTTAGCCACTGAAAACTAACAAATATCTGTTTAGCGCTTGAGGTACTGTGGTTGTAGTTTTCCAGTTTAGGAGGCCCTATTTTAATCCCCCTGGATAGTCTCAGGTTAATGTCACTTCTCTATGGATAAGAAAACAGGCAGAGAGATGCTGGTGGCTTTTCACAGTCACCCAGCACCTAAGAGCCAGATCTTGACCACAGAGGTCAGGAGCATTCTGTACCAACATGGGCACTAGTCATTGCTTATGAATGTATGAGTGACCCCAATTAGAATCTCAGAGCAGAGTCTGGGACAGTGGACCTCTACATGAACATCTTTTGAACAAAAGGCATACAATGGTACAAGTTAGATTTCAACATTCAGCAGAGTAAAACAGATTTTTTGGGGCTGTATTTCATACATGTAAAAATGTTAAGATTTCACTACTGTCCTCTATGACTGGCATTTAAGGATTTCTGTTTCATCTTAAATTAAAATTCTGCAATCTTGAGAAAATGTAATTGCTGAAATTTGCCTTATTCTGCTCAAGCCATCACTGATTTCTTTTCTGTCAAAAATCCCTTCTATTTTAAAAATTATATATTATGATTATGTCCTTTGCCTTTCCAAAACGCTTCCTAGATCCTCCCATTTCTCTCCCACCAAACTTCATGTTCTCTCTCTCTCTTTCTCTCTCTCAAAAATCAAACAAACAAACAAGCAATGACAAATAGAAGTACATAAACAGAAAATACAGCAACAATAATATGACAAAAAAGTATCAAAATATGACAAAAGATAGGAAGTACTTTTTGTGGTGGCCACCTACTCTTGGGCATGGGGTGTGGTCTGAGTGTGATTGATAATCCAGTAACCCTCCCTTGAACAAAACTGGTTTTCATTTTTTCAGCAAGTCTCACCCACAAAAAGCTTCTTAGTTAGGGGTGAGTCTTTACCTCCACTAGTTCCTCTCAGTTCTGGGATTTTCTTTGGTTTGAAACTGTACCGATATGAGTAGTGCCACAGTCTTAGTGAACTCATTTGTGAGAAAATTCTGTCCTGTCTGGACTATGCTGTGTCCTTGAAGTCATCCAGCACCTCTGGCTCTTACAATCTTTTTTTCCTCTTCCACATAGATTCCTGAGTTGGGGGAGGGGTGTGATTGATAAAGACATCCCAATTAGGCCTGAATACTCTAAAATCTCTCACTGTCTGTACATTGTCCAATCGTTCGTCTCTCTTAATTACCTTCTACTATAAAAAGCAGTTTCTCTGATTAAAGTTAAGTCTACAGGTACAGCAATATGTCATTAGAAGTTATTTTATTGCTATTATATTTTAGTAGGATTATAATAGTAGGTAATTGTTTTATGTGTGGGTTCTATCTTATTGAGTGTGTCTCAAATACAATTAAAACGTAATTGGTTATTCTCATAACGTACATGCGACTATCGCTCTTGCACGAATACATCTTATAGGTAGATTCTTTTGTAGGTCAAAGAGCTTGTAGCTGGTGGTATTAATTATTGTATTTCTTTTCCAATAGCATGTATAACACCTTCCAACGCCATGAATGAGAGTCAGTAGGGATGCAGTTTTAGTTGGGTACCAATTCAATTTCTCCTTGTTTGATGACAATAAGTATGTAATGTCTCAGGAATAGGGCTTTACCATTGTGGAGGGTGATCTTCACAATATCCTTTGATTTTCTTTTTTATGAAGAGGGCACAGGGCAGGCATCTTTGAGACCCATTTAACTGACGATTCAACAAGATGTAACCTATCCATGACACAGAGGGTTTTAGTTGGTAGTGTAAGATATCTTGTTGGGGCATTGCCTCCCCTATTGTGTGGCAACTCCATTGAAATTTCTCTCGTAAGTGTATATATTTTAGGAAGATTCTCCTGTTGTAGGTTTCCAGATGGCTGTTCAAAAAGTATTTAGTCTTATTTATCCTTGCTCATATCCTCGCCTTTGCCCTTCTCTCTCATCTCCCTCCCTACTTAAACTTCTTATTCTAGTTTCTACTTTCTTTTCTTAAAATCCTATATTCTATTTTCTTTTACTGAAAGATTCCCTCTTGTCCCTTCCTAGATACCTAAAGGTTACTCTGTTTTTATTTTAATTGAAACATACTTATCTAAAACATAAAGCTAATATCCATATATATGAGAAAACAAGCAACATATGTCTTTGGGGGTCTGTGTTACCTCAGATAGGATGATCATTTCCATATCCTTCCAACAATTTAATTCTTCCAAACAACTGAATAATAGTCCATTGTATAAATGTACCATATTTTTATTATCTGTTCATTAGTTGATTGGTAGCTTGGCTTTTTCCAATTTCCCACAAGCTATTATAGAGCAGCAACGAACCCAGATGAGCAAATTATCTCTGTAGTAAGATATAGAGTTCTTTGGGTGCATGCCGAAAAGCAGTATAGCTGAATCTTGTGGTAGATCTATTGTCAGCATTTTGAGGAGCCATAATAATAATTTCCACAGTGGCTTTAGAAGTTTGCAACAGTCAATAAATATTTTCCTTACCCTAAATCCTACCCAACTGCCATGTATTTTATTGATCTTGACCATCCTGATTGAGATAAGATGAAATCTCTGGTTTTCATTTTTTTCTTACTGATGGCTAAGAACATTGAATGTTTCCTTAAGTGTTTCTCAGTGATTTGTGTTTAACCCTTTGAGAACTCTCTGTTTAGTTCTATGACACATTTTTTGTTCATTTGTTTCTTGAGCTAATGTTTCTTCCTGTAGACCTGGCTGTCCTGCTGTTCTCTCTCTAGACCAGGCTCACTTCAAAATAGGGATTTTCCTGCTTCTGCCTCATACCAGTGATGATTAAAGGCGTGTACCACCATGTGTTGGAGGAGGCTGAACTCTGAAGCCCATTTTTAATTGGGTTATTTGCTTTCTTTATGTTCAGCTTTTTAGTTCTTGTTTAACTATGTGGGAAGGCTAAATTAAACATAGGGAGAATGATGGCCTCTTGAGGGGGTACAAACAACCACTGGATAAGCAATATGTGAAGTAACAAGCCAAAAGCCTTGTGGTACAATATAAACTAATAGAAATGGGTTAATTTAAGTTGTAATAGCTAGTTAATAATAAGCCCGAGCTAATAGACCAAACAGTTTGTAATTAATATTAAGCCTCAGAGTGCTTATTTGGGAACTGGCAGGTGGGAGAGATATCTCTGGTTTCATTATTCCAAAATATCTTTAGAGCTATTATAAAATGTCTTCTTTCCCTGATTTCTCTCTCAGTAGGTTTGTTATTTCTATTTAAGGAGGCTCTTGATTTTGTGTGTGAATTTAATATTCTGCTACTTTGCTGAAACGGTTTAATGGCTTTAGAAGTTTCTTGGTGGGGTTTTTATTGTGTCTATTATGCCTAAAACTTTATCATCTGCAGACAAAGATACTTCCCTTCTTATTTGAGCCACATTGATCTTCAGTTTTCTTATTACTTTAGCTAAGACTTTAAGTTCGATCTACAGTAGGTATGAAGAGAGTGAACTTCCTTGTCCTATTTCCTGACTTTAGTGAAAATGCTCTGGGTTTCTTTTCATTTATGAAGCTGTTGGCTATGAACTTACTGTAAATTGACTTCATTGTTTTATATAGAAGTTAATTTTGAAATTAATCTTTTATATTTTTACACTTTAAGTTTGTCTAGCAAAAGCAGTTCAGATTTTTATGGGCACATAATAAAAATATATATTTAGCTATCTTTACATTATCTTTTCTAAGTTTTGTAATCAGATATTTTTCTCCACCAGAGTTTTGATAATTAACATTATCAAAATACCAAACTCAAGTCATTTTAAAGAAAAGCTTAAAATTAACATGACAATTAATTTAAATAAGTCTGTCTAGGATCATCTTAAATACATTTCTTTTTCTTTACATAGCCCAAATTGGACATTTTTCCTCTTTTCTATTCTGGGGGTTGGGGAAGGTTATCAAGGTGGAGGGGTAGACTTGGGAGGACTGGTAAGTGAGTGTGATTAAGGTGGATGGTGTAAAATTTCCAAATAATCAAAAATTAATAAAAGTATTTTGCTGGGAAAAATTATCTGAAACCTTGGATTTTAGATTTTAAAAAGTATACAGAAATGATTGCTCTTATGCAGTCCAAGATTCCCCTAAACACATTTATACATACATCCATATATATTTTTGAAAGCATGCCTATTATGATTACTGGTGCACAATAAGTTTAAAACAGAAAAGCAAAACTTAAATGGCCAAGTTTTCTCTTCAGGGGCACAATTGGTAGACCGTTGCTGCCCTATTATTGTCTTAGAAAGCACCTCGAGTTTATGGAACACTGGTCAGCTTAAATTCTTGATAGGGGTTGCCAGACTAGCAAAGCCTCAATATTTCCATTCCACCATTACATAAGCCATTATGTACCACAAGCCCATTGTCTCTATTTGAAATAGCTCCATAGAACTCTAATGTCTCAAAAGAGCCCCAAACCCTCTTCTGTCCCACGGCAGATGCCCCCAAATAGTACAATAGGTAAGTACTCCAAACTTGCTCAACACAGCTTCCAATTGACAATCCTGCCTTACAAGTGGTATCTCTGTTAAAGTACAGGCTTACTCCTTTATGACGCCTGTCACTAAAGTCATGACAAGCTTCCTTCTAGATCTGAAAAGCCTCTTCTACACAGGGCATGGCAGGAAAGAAGCAAACCCCAGACAAAGAAGAGCTAAGCATGCCTCTCTTAAGACTCCTGTAGGCGTGACAGCAGATTCTCCTCTCGCTGGAGTCAACGACTTCAGCTACATTTGGGTTCTCAGTTCTGGTGACAGTCTTACCTAAGGTCACCTCATGACATGCAGGGAGGCTGGACCTTAGGCAGAAAGGCTGATGTGGGGTGAGTCCTGTGGCATTGATGGTTTCTAGGAATCTGGTGTTATTCAATGATTTCTTTAACATCATTTATGGAAGCACAGCTAACAAAAACTCAGAGAGAAAAACTGGGGTTCAACCTGAAGATCTCAAAAGCAAAGAAGTTACCCACTGGCTCTTGCCTTGATCTCACTCTGAAAGTAGTGTTCCAGTCTCTAGCAATCTCAGAATGAGACTTTGTCTGAGAGCTATCTTCTTTCAATTTTATAGTCCTCTCTAGTTCTGGGATTAAATGCATGCACCACTACTGCCTGGTTTCTGTGGCAAGCTAGTGTATCTACTAGGATAAAAGGTGTATATTATTGCTTCTTTGTCTGTAAGACTGGCCAGTGTGTCTGTTTTACTTTTCTAATCCTCAGGCAAGCATCATTTATTAAAATACAAGTGAAATGACACGACAACTTCTTTTAAAAACTTATAAGTATGTGTACACAGACATATCCACATGCATGGAGCACATTTCCACATTTCTCCTGATTTCTTGACATTTTCCAAATTTCTCTGCTAGTTTCGTGAAAAGAATGAATACATGTTATATATATATATATATATATATATATATATATATATATATACATACATACATATATATGGGGGGCACATTTGAATTTCAGGCATTGTCTTCTTCAATTTCTACAGACCTTGATTCTTGTCAACAATAAGATCAGCAAGATCAGCTCTGGGGCGTTTACACCGCTAGTGAAATTGGAGAGGCTTTATCTGTCTAAGAACCAACTGAAGGAGCTGCCTGACAAAATGCCCAAAACCCTCCAGGAGCTTCGTGCCCACGAGAATGAGATCAGCAAAGTGAGGAAAACCGTGTTCAATGGACTGAACCAGATGATCGTCATAGGTACAGATCTGATTGTAGCTCAGGGACCAGGCCCTGGGGGGAAGGGGGAGGCTCCTGAAAGGATTTCTAGTAATTCTTAGCTGCAGGAAGGGGATGGGCCAGAACCCGTGAGTCTGAAGGCTGTGTGCATAGCAATCGCTGCTGCAGGAGAAAGGGAGTATTCTCCTGGGCTTCCGTAATGAGACTGGGAAGAGAAGACAGCGTATCTGTTCTCATGAGCAGGATGAAGGACAGACAGTGCTTAATCAGAGAGACTCAGGGAAACCTTTCCATAGCGGAGTTTGCTTTCTCAATCACCATCTGTAGATTATTTCCTTTCTAAAAAATGTTTTATAAGGTTTTGGTGGGTGTGTAATTATTAAGTATGATTTTCAAGCTGGCTTGCAAAATGATAGATTTAAATTCTTTAACAACATTTAGGAAATTTATAACATAAAGTATGATTTATTAACACCTGCTTAGCTTTTCTGGAGAAATTGTTAATAGTGCCATGGCTATTATTTTTCATAAATAATTTTTTTAATTGTTTGTTTGATTGACTGGTTCATTCATTCATTCATTCATACAAGGTTTTGTTGTATAAGACAATCTGCCCTTGAATAGCAAATGATCTTGCTGCATGAGGTCTCTGAGTATTGGGACCATCACACCAGTTTTAGTAGAACAAAGTCTCATTTCATTTTGATGTTTCTCTGAAGATCATAGTATTTCTTACTATTTTTTTCCATTTTTTCCTCTGTCTAGAAGTTACTAAAACCTAATAATTTTTCTAGAATCTTCACTGAAGCAGATACAGACATCCTGAAATGTCCTCTAAGAGCCTTGCACTTTTTTTATCTTTGTAGAACTGGGTACCAACCCTCTGAAAAACTCTGGAATTGAAAACGGAGCCTTCCAGGGAATGAAGAGGCTCTCATACATCCGCATCGCAGACACCAACATCACTGCTATTCCTCAAGGTGACAGGAAATTCTCCAAAATAGTTTGAGAAACAAAGCCCTGATAGATTTGACATTTTTAAAAATAATTGTGGGTGTTTACATTGGGGCATGTGGAAAGCCTGGCTTCAGTGAACGATCAGTACCTAGAAGGGGTTCTGCTTGGGCCTAATTGATGCACTTGTCATGCAGACACAGAGAGACTCTTATACATCCCTAAGATTTAACTTAGGACGCTGTAAGTTTGGGTTCTGCTGTCATGATTCCTAAAGAAACCACCCAGTTAATAAGAGTACTGTAGTATAATTTTGTTTAAAAAAGTGAAGGGGAAAAAGTACTCATATCTGGCTGTATCTCTGAAACTGAGACAAATTCTTCTTTGATTTTGTCATCCTACAGAGAACTCTTTTCACTATAAAACATTCCATTCATCAGTATCTAAATAAGGAGATCCAACTGATGATGTAATGTTGGTCATCATAAAGAATTATGACTTCAGAGTCTTTTCTTAGACTCAAGTTGCCATTAATGGGTTCAAGGGCACTCAAATTCTTAGGGTTAGGGTCTCAAAATTAAGTAGAATATATGAGCATACGTAAGTGGAGGACTAATATTGCTTTCTATTATTTTTTGAAAAATGTATTAAAGTTTTAAGCTTACACAGTGTACAGTGGAGACATACTGGTGAAGTAAGAAACACTGTTTGTTCCGTCAACCAGAGCCAGAAGGTTGAAGGCTGATCATTGTCATTGATGCTACTTCCAAGGCCACATAGAGTCCTTTCCTGGTGAGCCAGCAAAAGCAGCAAAACACCAAAAGAAGTGCCATGAGCTTCACTTTCTTCCTACCTCAAAGTTCAGTCTCACCAAAGCCCCTCCATACTTGCCACTATCCCTCACCCCTGCCCTCTTCAACACAAGTGCCTTCCTCTGTGACTGGATACTGGGTGTAAATTCTCATCTATAGGAAACACTGATTATTTTTACATCATAGAAACCTTTCTTATAATCCCTGCTTACTCCAGGCTTTTTATACAGAGGTTGGTTTGATGCTCTGGGAAATAAGTATTGTGATAGATAGGTACATACATACATACATACATACATGCATGCATGCATACATACGTATGTACGTACATACATGTATGTTTGTACATGTTTGTAAGCAGAGACTGCACTCACATTTCCTGGAGGCCCAGACCTGAATAAACACACAGAAACTATATTAATTACAACACTGTTTGGCCAATAACTTAAGCATATTCCTAGATAGCTCTTACATCTTGCTTACATTAACCCATTTCTATTAATTGGTGCATCGCCAACAGGCTGTGGCCTACTGGTAAGGTTCCAGCATCCGTCTCCTTTGGCAGTTACATGTTGTCTCTGTGACTCTTGCCTACTCTCTCTCTTTATGTTCAGATTTCTTGCCTGGCTTACTCTGCTCAGCCATTGACCAAAGCAACTTCTTTATTAACCAATGATAATAAAACATATTCATAGCATAAGAGGGGAATCCAATACCATGTGTTAAATGATACATTCACAAGTAAGACAGCTAGTTAGAAAAGCACAAATTATTAATAACTTAAAAGGTATGTATGTTTTGAGTTTCTAATGAGACTCAAATTTGTTGCATGCAGCAAATGCTCTTTTATATGAAGTAAAAGGAAATCCAATACATATGTTCACATATATTCAATTAACCATGGATCAAACATACATAAAAGATTTTTCTTTTCTAGTGACAAACTATTCTTGCCACTATTCTGGAAAGAGTAAAATGTAACAATTAGTCACTCGGCATTTAACTTGTGTTGGAATTATAAGTAGAGGTAATTTAGGGAATGAAGGCACATGAGCATAGGTTTTATGCAAACATATCATTTATACAATGAAGTTGAACATCTGCAAATTTTGGATTACACAGAGGATCTGCACCAATCCTCCAGATAATGATGGGCGAATGTGTGTATGTAAAACATGGAGAAGTATGCATCCATGAATATGCATATATATGTATATGTACTGTATATGTAGATTATGAACTATAACTAATATATCCATAATATCCTAAGGTTTTAGGAAATGAAGCAGCTGAAAATTTCCTATCACTTGCTATCATGTCACATTAGTGACGTGCTGCATTAGTGACACATTTTGACTTTGACTTTACAATCTGTCCTAATGCATCTTCCAAAATGTCTCTCAGTGACAGATTTCATCATGCAGTGTCTGTTTTCCTTCACTTTGCATCTGCCCTCTCTATCCTGTGGACAACCTATCATCACTTCAGGCTTGATTTTATTGACTGCCTCTTAATCACACCAAAGTTACAAGTACAATTAATTAAGCATCCACAAGTGATAGATTTTGTGTCAAACACATTTTGTGGATTCAAGTGTCCCTCTATAGTAGCACTGTTAATGTTTTATAAGAAAATCAGGGCTTAGAAAGTTGACACAAATAAGCAGGATCTTAGAGATGAGAATTTGGTGGAGCTGATATTTTAATGGGAGATCTCAGAATTTAAATGGTCAACTATTTCACTTAAGCCTTCTTCTTTGTGCAAATATACATGTCTCTAATTCGTGAATCTGTCATTCTTAGGCTGAGACTCTTATGGCTGCACATCAGTGATGCTTGATTATCTTTTCTTCCATAATTCATAGAAGTGCAAAGTCAATGTCATATATTTTCACCCTGCAGTTTTGAGCTAGACCAGTCCAGTAAAGGTCATCACACAGTCTTGTAGTTATTCTTTGACTTTAAGCTAAATATTCACATTTGTAGTATGTGAATTTAGTCAACTACAAATAAAGTATTAATATCAAAGATATTCTAGCATGGCTGTGATATTTACCAGATAAAAGTAAGGCTCATATTGTATAGGTAAAGCACATGTACCAAAATGATCTTCATTTATTTTGTCACTAAAATAAGAAGGTAGAGAAAACAAAAGGCATGTCACAGAGAACAGATTCTTTTGACAAATGTCGCCGTGGAGAAGGATGATGAAGATCATTTTTAATTTATTTCTCTTCAATAATGCAACTTTTTCCTTCATAGACAAACTTCTTCCTGGCCCTAACTTGTGAGAAACTGTGCTCTTGGAAAGAGAGGCATTTAGCAGCCAGTAAGCAGTAATAGTGGAACTGTTTATTGGTGCTCTGATGGCACAAAAAAAGCAACAAAACTTATTGAATTATAGAAAAAAGGAGGCATCTCAAATTTTCTTGATGAAATACACCCTTGTTGCACTTCCAGGAAGACTTTTAAATTTTTATTTGTTTATGTCTAGAAGAAGTCAGTAGTTAAAACATTTTATTACAAGAGTAGTTGTGATTTCCTAATATTTATTCATGAGAAAATTCAATTATTATTTAATTTCCTCTGGATTAGAGAATGTTATTATAAATTCCATTGTCCAGATGGGAGTATGGTACACTTCCTGTTTAAAATTTGCAAATTTATAACTTTGAGTCTCTGTTTCTTTACTAAGAACAGGAATTGATTTTCATCATTTTGCACATTGAGAAAGTCAATGTAGCTGAGAAAGTAACATGGTCAATATTTGGTACATAACAAAGACAAGGCAAGTAGAAGCTTTTCTATCTATCTATTTATCTACCTATCTATATGTCATCTATTTATCTATCTATCAATCTATCAATCTATCTATCTATCTATCTATCTATCTATCTATCTATCTATCTGTCTATTCATGTTTTCATTGTTATTTGCTATTCTAAACATTCATCTATGAAGAAACATATAATAACTTTAAAACCAACATAGAAGAATTATTGCAATAAATAAAATCACTAACTTAATTTGGTGGTTGCAATGCAAATTTCATAGCTATGAAATCTGCTGTTTCCTAATTATGTGTCTTTATAGATAAAAAACTAAAATTTGCTCCAACCAGGAACTAGGTCAACATGCATCCATTCACTGTTTTCTTTGTAGCAGCTGCTATTCTTTACAGTGGGATACTACATTATTAACGGCCATATATTACACCTAGTCCTACATAAACGCATAGAAGCAATAAATTCTAATATTGCTTACTACTTATGTTACTACTTATGTTACTAAATATTTGGAAATCATAGCTATTCAAGAAGTATTGTTGAGAGTTTAGTGGACCCTTTGGGTCTTAGATTATTTAACCAGGTGCTCCGCGTATGTCAGGTTGCTTGATTATAGGGTTTTTCACAATTTAACACAGCCACGTGAGTCAGAGATTCTCAACCATCTTCTCCGGGGTCACCTAAGACCATTGGAAACACAGATATTTACACAACAATTCATAACAGTAGAAAAATTACATTTATGAAGTAGCAATGAAAATAATGTTATGGTTGGGTGAATGCAAGAGATCTTAGCGTTAGAAAGATTGAAAACAATTTATATTATAAGCGATTGCTGCACAGCCATGGTGTAGAGGTAACAAATGCTCTCACAGAGAAGTCAAGTCTAACGGCCAACATCTGCACAACACACTATAAGTTATGAATCATACTTGTAAATGAAATATCCGTTTGCATTTTGATACAGACTTAGACGATACATGGATACATGATCCTTGCTTTGCTGTTCCATTGATCGTCTCCTCGTTTTATCTTTGCATCCTGAAGTGTTTATAAAACAGCAAAAGTGTAAGCCCACTGACACAGGTGGAAAGATCCATGAGAGGTTCAGTATTTGGCTTTCATTCTGTGGGTGCCAGGACAAAAATCTATCGCAGGAGGTAAAGAGCTCATAATTTTAAGCTCATAAGTCCCTCTGAGACAAAAGCTGTAAAGTTTCACATCACTTGAAAGTGTGCATTGTTATTATAATAAGAAAAGAGAAACAGATGAAAGTCAAAATTATTCAAAATGACTTTTACAAATGGACAGCATGTGTGCACATTGAAAATTTGTATTTATAATGTTTGTAGGCTAATTTAGCATCTTTCCATGTCCCAGGTCTCCCTCCTTCTCTCACTGAATTGCATCTGGATGGAAACAAAATCACCAAGGTTGATGCATCCAGCCTGAAAGGACTGACTAATTTGGCTAAGTACGATAATTTATTGCTTTCTATCAAAATGATGAGGGTGTATTATTCATCTTTAGAAACACAATGTCGTACTTATTGTTTTTTTCTTTTTGGTTCTTAGAGACAGGTTTTCTCTGTAGCTTTGGAGCCTGTCCTCGAACTAGCTCTTGTAGACCAGGCTGGCCTCGAACTCAGAGAGATCTGCCTGTTTCTGCCTCCTGAGTTCTTGGATTAAAGACCTGAGCCACCACCACCTGTCTGTTCTACTTATTTTTAAAACCATCTCAAGTTAATATGTTTTCAAAGGAACAGTCCAGCTTACCTGACAAATTCTTGACAAAAGTCAATGAACTATTATAATTACTATAGACAGCCAAATTGATAAAATATTTTGTGGATATTTTGCTGTTTATAGACGAATTGTACAGGTGTTCAACTAAAACAGGATTTCAATGCCCATTTAATAAACTAAATTATTTTATTAGTTTATTTAGAATTTAAACACTAAATTCTAATTTAGTGTCATCAAGGAGAAAGTTAAGAAATCTGTAATGATTCAATCCATATTTGAGAATGTATTTAAATGGCACCTATATGGACATAGAAATATTACTTTCAGAATAATTCTAAAGGAATCATCTAACATTTAGTTTCTCAAGAATTTAAAAGAAAATGTCACTGCAGATTTACTACAGACTCATAAAGAAAAATTTCTTTTTTTGTGACCCTGTTTAACTGTATTTTTTCTTTGTACATTGCTAGGTGTTACTTTCTAATTTGGTTTCAAACCCTTCTGTATTTAAACTTGGTTATATAAGAAAAATCAAGCGAGGAATAGTGGTGTGGGAGAATTGTCTGTATTCTGTCAATCATATTTTAATAAAACGCTAATTGGCCAGGCAGGCAGTATAGGTGGGTAAACCAGACAGGAAGTAGAGGTGATGCAATGAGAACAGGGGAATTCTGGGAAGCAGGAAGCTTCCTCTGCCATTCCTGCGCAGACCACCGAAGAGGCAGCATGTAACCTGACCAGCTGAGAAAGGTACGGAGCCGTGTGGCTAACGTAGATAAGGATAATGGGATAACATAAGTTATAAGAGCTAATAAGTAGCCTGACCTAATGGGCCAATCAGCTTTATAACTTATAGAGATCTCTGTGTGATTGATTTTCTCTGGAACTTGCCGGTTGTGGGGTACTGGGCAGGAACAGAAACCCCAACAAGCCGGCCCCGCACGTTACAGAATAGTTACTTGCTATGTATATAGCTGAATATTCTTACAGAGCATGTACCTGCTGTAGCCTTATGTCAAGTCTAAATGATAGATGAATAAATGCGCAGAGCACATTTCTTTATCCTTGAGAAATACCAGTGACCAAGTCAATAAAGGTACCTAAAGCTTCTGTGTGTAGTCTCCAAATGATCCAGTAGATGGGGAAGGGAAAGAATAAATACAACATTGCAAATATAGCTATGTTTCCATGGTATCTGAAATAGTACCATCTACAAAATGTTAGCCCTAGTTTCTGATACAGAAATCATTGTTCACAGTAATTTACATCATGCGTCTTCTATCTTTCCTTTTCAATTAATTCCTTCTAGCTGCAGAAGAATGTAAGCAGATAAATTGCAATATGTATTACATTTATTTGTAATTAAGATATTATTTTTGTATTATTATGAGGATGGTTAATAGCAATATTGTGAGAAGAAATAATTTGCACCTCTAAGAATGACAAATCATTCATAATATGTGTGTTTCTTAAGAAAAGATGTTTATGTTATATGAAAACCAGTAAAGGGATTCTGGCATATTAAACTTTTATATTGATGGCATGTGCTATCTTAAACAGAACCTTGAGGTACTAATAACTTTTGAAAAACCTAATGAAAAGGCAGGTTTCATGGTAAGTGGATTCTGAATTCCATTTAATCACTGTATCTGTGGTTCAAGTTTCATACTTCCTGAATGTATCAAATCCATTTCTCTTGGAATCAAATCCAGAGAAAATTGTTCATTATGCCATCAAATTACTGTGTTCCTTATTATTCAATGATGTTTGAACACAATAAATGTGTTACTGTTGAAAATTAAAAAACAATAAAATCTGTGTAAAGAAACCAGAAACTCCTTTTCATGGCAGAGTTCCAGTTTATTATCAGAACTGTGTTAGGAGAAATTACCACACGGCCCTCTCCTAAAGGACAAAATATAAGTAATTATTACACATCCATACATAGTCATATATATATAGATAGATAGATAGATATAGATATAGATATGTGTGTGCATGTATATGTATACATATGTACATATGTACATACATATGACATGCAAATGCATATAAGACATCATGTCCTTTATTTGTAGAAATATTTTTTCACTGGTAAATGTGTTTTTTTTGAAGTTTGTCACTGTTCTTTTAAATTCCTGGAGAAATATAGATTCTCAAGAATGCTTATTGATTGGATATATAAACAAATACTTTCAAATACAATGAATTTTGAAAAAGTTGTTAGAAATTGGATAGTCTAAGAAATAGTCTACTGCAAAATTGTTAATAGGGACTTGACATGTCATAAGGTATAGGAGACTTAATTCTGAAGTGAAAAACAAAAGGCCATAAATAATAAATGGACATGTGAACTGAAGGTAAAATCTAAATATTTTTAGCCAAGATAACAAGTCCGGTAGTTAAGATAATCAGCGATGTTATTCATGCTCCAAAATCTGCTTATTTTAACCTTTATTTCATAATACAGCCAGGACCATACTTGGAAAGCTTTGTTTATGTAAGACCAGCATCTGGGTTTGAGTGTGCTTAAGACTTGGGCCTACCTGAAGGTTAGGGAAATCATTCTGCAGCATCTAGACCAGGCCTTTGCATGCTAAGATGCTTGATAAACATTCCCCTCCTTCCTTGCAGCTGTTCGCTCTCTTCTGTTATGCTGCGGCCTCATCCTGGCATCTGCCCTATGGATTAACATCTCTCTGCTCTGGGTGGTTTTATCCCTAGAATGTTTAATGGATTAGTCATGCCTCTAAAGCAAATTCTTCTGGCTTGGAATCCCATTAATATCATAGAAACCTCATTTGTTATGCCTTTAATTTAAGAAATATGAACCAAGACCTCAACCAAATAAATCTTATAAAACAGCAAAAATGAGTCAGATGTCTGAGTAGGGGGAAGTGAAGCATATATCAAACTGGTCCAGGGTGCTGGAAAATTCTTTTTTTAAAAAAAAATATTTATTTATTTATTTATTATGTATACAATATTCTGTCTGTGTGTATGCCTGCAGGGCAGAAGAGGGCACCAGACCTCATTACAGATGGTTGTGAGCCGCCATGTGGTTGCTGGGAATTGAACTTGGGACCTCTGGAAGAGTAGGCAATGCTCTTAACCACTGAGCCATTTCTCCAGTCCCTAGAACTCTTTTTTTTTAATCTACTATAACACACTAATCCTACTTATTGCTATGGAGAGTAGGCTTACTGACATTTTAGAATGTTTTATCTTTAATTTCCCATGACTAAATGTATATGATAAATGAATAGTTGCTTCATTTCCAAAGTGCTAAAAGTCTCCTACTCTTTCTTTTTGCTCTTTCCCAAATGAATGTGAGTGTTCATTAAATGGAGAAATCAACTCATGATTATTTGTGGACTACGTCAGCGTCTATGCTGATTCTATGTTAGAACTAGATTTGCTACAAGACAGTTGCTATTCCAGAGGAGGGGTATCTGAGTGGTCAACTTAGAACACTGATTTTACACTTCCTAAGATGATCTCATTATGCTACAGAAGAATATTTGCTAGAGGTATCCATCCAGGAGTCCTCATAAAGGTCGTCCTGAGCTCAGATGTTAAGAGTAGGTTTTGGGGGTAATGGAGATGGTTCTGTTGGTGACATTATTGCTGTGCAATCATGAATATATGAGCCCATACTCCCTACTTTAAAAACTTGGGCATGGTGTCACATACCCTGGAAGCTTGCTGACTGACTAGTTTGGACACTTTGGTGGGCCCCAGGTTCAGTAAAAGACTGTCTCAAAATCTTATTTGGAAAATTAAGGAGGAAGCAAACCAGTGTCAATATCTGGTCTCTGAACCCTTGTGCCAAACTCACACACACACAAACACACATATACACACACACATACACATGCTCTTGCAACTTTGCAAACATCTGCACATATGTGCACACATACACAAAAAGATAATAGTTTTCATCTAGATTCAGAAAGTTTGGGAAAAAAAACACTCAAGAGGAAAAGTCCATGCAAAAGCAACGAATGTGTCATTCAACTGCTCAATTTCCTACAGTGTAAGAAAGGGATTTTTGACAGCTGTGCACACCAATTTCTCAATTTCTGCTCCCTTCTGCAGGCTGGGGTTGAGTTTCAACAGCATCTCTGCCGTGGACAATGGCTCCCTGGCCAACACTCCTCATCTGAGAGAACTCCACTTGGACAATAACAAACTCATCAGAGTGCCTGGTGGGCTGGCAGAACATAAGTACATCCAGGTAACGCAAAGCCAGTCCTACTTGTGAGGACCATCTGGAGTGGAATCTTTTAGTGTGATTCTAGGAGAAGGGAACTCTTTTCGGGAATTTTTTTTTGTGTGTCATAGCCTTCCACTAGAACAAAATCCCATGCTAGCATGGCTAGATTGCGCTGAGAGCCTGAACCAGATATTGAACCCCTAATGTCACCTCTTAGCCTCACCTGACAGAATGAGTGCCTTCTTGTAAAGACAGTAATCCCATTTGAGTCTGGTCACTTTCCAAAGGTCTACCCCCATGCCACATTATTGGGATGGTGTGATTTGGGTGTATACAAAGTCACTACATAGAAAGGAACTTTTAAATATTTCGCATATAGGGTCTTACTGCATAGAAAACATGCTTGACTTATTAATTTTTAAAATAACTATACCTCGACTGTACTATAAAACTCAGTGCTAAATAAGTATTTCTTATGAGCTAGGCTGGCTTATTATCCTAGCTCAGTGCAACAGTGCCTGTTGTATAAGTCAGTGGGGGCATAATGAGCAACAGAACAGAATTTTAACTATATTGTCATAGCTGACAAAAGCCATGCATTGAGTTAAGTTAATACAAATTATCAAATTACATAGCTTAGTCAAGATATGAATACAGGAGCCAGTAGTCCCGTGGGTGATAGCCTCTGTGTCTATAAATCTAAAAATGAAAAGCATACATACTAAGTCGTAGCAAAAATAATCATATGTAATAACAGACTTATAGTGCTACTTTGAAAAACTAAAACAAATATGTTTATTCAAGCTACTCAAAAAGCAGTACTTTTTACAATTTGTCTTATATACATCATTATTTTTTCTATGTCTTCAGTGCTTATTGGTGAAGTTGTTATTTATTTACTTATTTTGGTTGTTTGTTTGACACAAGGTCTCACTGTGTAGCTCTAGTCATCCTAGCACTAGAGCACAGACCTATACAGTCATAACACCACTACAGCACAGTTTTAGAGAGGGAGGTAACTTTCTTGTCTTAAAAGGGGCAAGCTGTTCACCTTTACCACTAAGGAAGACACTAGCTGCAGCTGAATTGCAAATGCTCTCTATCAAGTGACAAATCGCCCCTCTGTACCTAGCTTAGCTGCACTTTTGAACACTTTCTTCTTTGGCATAATTCTCTGTGCTTTTTGAGATGATGTTTTGCATTTCATTGTCCATATAGTGTATTAAATTAATTCATTATAAGATGTTAAATCAGTTTTGAATTCTTGAGACAATTCATTTTTGGAAATAATATACATTCTTTCTGTACGTTGTGAATTTATTTTGCATTATCTCACTATATAGCCCAGACTGAACTCAAACCCATGAGCCTCTTGCCCCATCACCCAAGTGTTAGGGTTCTAGGAGTGCTCCATCATGTCTGGTTGATGCCTGCTTAGTTTTTAAATAAACCTTGTGTCTAGCAACACTAAGAAAATTTATGAACAAATTGCCATTCTATTAAGCATGACAACAAAATGTATTTTATAAAACATTTTGGTGAGTTGAAATGTAGTATTTTTAGAATAGAGTTTGTAAACTAAATATCAGTTGAGTATTGTGTTGGTACTCGTTTGTAACCTCAGAATTGGAGATGTTGAATCAGGAGAAGTCTGAGGACAAGTTGAACTACCCAGAAAGACCACCCCAAAGACCAACAAACAAAATAATAAATAAAAGGAAAACCTTATTAAGCCTGCTTTTGTAAATGCGATAGTTGTATATACTTAGAAATTTGAGTTTTTATTTAAATTCTAATGTGTACATTTTCCTTTTTTTGTTAATTTCATTACACATTATTTTCTTCTATATATCATTATTAAGTGGTTTATATTTTGGTTTTTGCTCTAAAGGTTTAATGTCCCATAGAAATAGTATATGCTAAAAGCATATCTAATATGTGAAGCAATACCCATTCATTCAGGGTACTTCTTGACTATAGCAGGCACTGGAGATGTGGTCATAAACAAAGGAGCACATTCCTCATTACGCTTCTGCTTTAGAAAAGAAACACAGAGAAAGCCAATTACACTGCATAGTGATAACCGCTATGAATATAAGATAGACATAACTCTGTATTAAGAATGACAGGTTGGGGTGTTGAGAGAAGGGTTGTATGTTATGAGGAAATGAAGCAGAATGGTGTCAGACTGTAGGATGGGCAAACCCTGGTGAGAACTTTTGTTGTTGTTGTTCTTTTTCTCCAGGAATAGGCAAGGAATAATTTTCACCTGCGTCTGTTTTTCATGACATGGATATTCTCTTAAATTTATTTTTGTTCTCACCTCTTTGTTGTTGTGGTTGTTCTTTTGTTTTGAAGTTCATCTCGGATGTAATTTTCTTTAGATGGACTTCTGATGAAAGAAAAGAGAACTAAGGAGGAGCAACCAGCTGCTTCAATAGTTGGGGAAGAGGCCCTGGAGGCTTAGACTGGGCTGTGGGAGTAGACATGAGGAGGACCACTTCATGAACACACTTTGAAGAGGGACGAATGGGATGATGGAGTAGAGAGCGTAAGAGGGAGCTGAGTGCAAAAATAATTGTAGTGTTTCTAACATGAGCATCTAGAAGGATTGAGGTGTTCCTTACAAAGTATGACATCGTGAGAAAGGAAAAGCAACTTCTGGAGGGAAGGCAAGAATCAAAATTTGGTTCAAGGAGTCGTGACGCATGCACACCACCAAAAGGTCCAAATTAAAAATAATATTTATGTGAAGATCCTCAGCACCCGTATGGAGGCTAACCATTTTGCACTGCTTCATGCCGCAGGTTGTCTATCTGCACAACAACAACATCTCCGCAGTGGGCTCCAATGACTTCTGCCCTCCTGGCTACAACACTAAGAAGGCTTCTTACTCTGGCGTGAGTCTCTTCAGCAACCCTGTCCAGTACTGGGAGATCCAGCCCTCCACCTTCAGATGTGTCTATGTGCGCTCTGCCATTCAGCTCGGAAACTACAAGTAACTCCCAAAAAGGTCTCATTTATATAATCTGGCAAAGAAAGCCCAAAAATCCAATCTGTCAATATCATTACTAAAAGGGAAAAAAACAAAGAAAGTAAGAAAGCTAGATGATGGAAATTCAAGCATATTGTGAATGCCTTTCCCACATGACCTATTATGCATCAAACCAAATATGCAGATTGAATAATTGCCTACAATAAAAGTATTTTGCCTGCAATAGTCAGAATCATTTTTAAATGTTTCTGTAGATGTAAACCAAGCTATCAAAATCTGATGTAACCATAGAGGCCAACCATTTAGTAAAGCTCTCAAAGAAACCAAATATAAAGTCTTTGGTAATTCATAGAGCTAAGTTAACTCTTTTGACACCAAGTCAAATGCCAAACTCTAGCAATGTATTAGTCTCCTTTATTGTTGGTAATGCCTCATTTGAATATGTAAAGTCAATACAGGCTCTGTAAAGTTTTCACTGCCATTATACTGAAAAAAATAAAATTTTGAAAATGCATTCAAAATGGATATATTATAAATATTTAATCCTAAATATTCCTGAAATTTCTGGACAGTTGACAGTAATAGTATATATTTTCAAATCCTTAACCCTTCCTCTACTCTTTCTGCTTTCATTTGAGGGTGGCAATGAGTAGTCTCTACGTTCAGTGTTAAGCTTGTAAAGCACAGAACAGATTCCGTTGCATTAGCATAGAAAACTCATATTTCCCGTACTCATTTATGAAATCAGTTTTAAGAGAACTTTGAGCACAATCAGGTTGCTGTCTAGACATTTCTGCACTCACTGGTGTACTGAAAATCGATATAGCCTTTAGTTAGCCTCTGACTTCATGAAAGCATTCTTTTGAGTTGGATTTTGAAACAGCTATGGAATCCTGCAAATAAGCATGCCTCAGGAGTGGACGGCTGAGCTTAGAGAATTTATGACTTGGAATGTTCGGGCCAGCAATACCTAGTGGGAAACTATGGGAGACTAGCCTGTGTCAGCTGCAGAGTTCATGTCTTATCATCAGCAATCATAAGACAGTAATTTAAACCTGGCTTTAAGCACAAGGAGCACCAGTTTTCAATCCCGGAAACAAGGAATGAGGGCTCCCATTTCCACATCTTCTGTAGCATTTGGTGTCAGTTATTTCGCTGATCTTAGCCATTCTAATTGTGCTAAGATGAACTTTCAGGGTTATTTTAATTTGCATTAGCTTAGTCACCAAAGATAATTTTTTAAAAAATAACTCTTAGCCACTTTACTTTTCTCTCTTTCTTTGCATATGCTTTCCGAGCACTGAAGGATACCTGAAGTATCCTTACGAGGCCAGTATAGCTTCAAACTTGTCACCTGCCTCCGCTTTCTACATGCTGAGGTCATAGGTGTATGCCATCACGACCAACTTTGAATTTGAATTATAGTTCCAAGCAGAAAATCTAGAGATAGATGGTTCTATTGTCTAAATGACCCAGTGCGCAGGCCAATGATCAACCTCATGATCCCGTATTCATTCAGCAAAGATCACTGAGGCATACTCTATGAAGACAGCAGAGTCTAGTTACCTAGTAAGGATGGAGGGAAAGACATACTCAGTTATAGAAACATAACTTCCTCCATATCATTGCATTCCAAGCTCACATGCTCCTCCCATTGATTTCTTCATTTGGTAGAAAACCTGCAAGGACAGGCTGTGGAAGAGGAAACACAAGAGTACAGATGTGATTACAGCATCTAGTTATTTTATTTCTTACCATGAGAGCTCTCTGTTCAAATCCATGGCCCGATTTTGATGGGTCATTTAGCGCTTTGCTGTTTTTGAGTTCTTTATATATTCTGAATGTAATCCACTGTCAGAGGCAGAACTAGAAAAGTTTGTCTCTCGCTACTTGGGCCTCCTCTTCACTCAATTGACTGTTTCTGTAGCTGTGTGGAAGCCTTTTATTTTAATGAGGTTCCACTTATTAATTGTAGCGCACCACGCCCATCTGCGCTCCACGTGCTACCATACAGTTTGTGAACCAGGCAAGGGGCTAGAGCCCGAAACATACAAAGACACACAGACAGAGACACGGGTCATCTTTGAAACAGGAATGCCCTTTTATTGTGTCCTGGGGCAGCTTATATAAGAATCCTTAGCTTCCTATATAGCCAAACCCACCAGAAACCACTCCCCTGCCATCAGGAACTCCTGAGGGTCTCATGCTCAGCGCAACTGCAGGCTGTCTCAGAACAGAGGAAAAAAAAGTTGTTTGCAAGAATTCAAGATCTGGGGGTTCACAGCTCCCAACAATTAATTACTAGCTTTAATTCCCAGGCAAATAAAGACCCATTCAGAAATTCTTTGGCTACACCTGTATCTCATCAGGGTCCTGCCTAATATTGTTTGTTTTTGAGAGTTCACATTAATGTCATTAATTCATTTAGACTTAATTTCTTTACAATAAATATTAGTAAAAGCATATGCATATATATCTAAATGAAGTTAGACCGCTTGGACTGACAGTATTATCATCAAGGTCCATAAACTATCTAATAAAAATCTCAGTGCCAGGCGTGAGAAACTCCTTAATGTACTTGATTGGGATAATTCATGAGACTCCCAAAACAATAAATTGCCTTAGTTGCCTCCCAGAAGTTAAAAATTAATCCCTGTTGCTGAAGAATCCATGTATCCAGGCATAGGCCGTGGAGGCTCAGGGCTGTATCTGACGGAAACGCCTCTAGACTCTGTACTTTCATAGCCCCAGACAATGCTATGGAAGCTACCAAGGGAAGGAAGCGATCCTATCCAGTTGTGAACCTCACAAACCACAATGATCAAGATTCCAAGACATCCCTAAAGGTGCAGTGTTGGCATTCATTCTTAATGGTAACCAGCATCTGTCTGATTGGAGTTTAGGAACATATAACAGGAGGGAAATCATACTAAATACTGGAAATCTAGTCAAAGACCCAGGACTTATGAAATCATATATTTTAGGGGAAAATCTGCTGCTACCACTTTACTAAACTTCATAATTCCTAACTTCATTACAAACATTTAAACCCACAGACAAGAGTAGGTAGCAATGGAAAAAGCTTTTCTTTGCAACAGAGAAAAAAGACCAATACAGAAACCAGGACTGGTCACAATGCAGAGATTAACTGATTGGGAGGAGCCCAGCACCAGTGGATATAGCGGATATAGCTACAGTACAGTTCCTGCTCCTAATGCTCAGAGGGTGTTGCAGAAGAGGGGTCAGGGAGATTGTTGAAGCCAGAGGCCCAGGGAATCTTCCATGAGATTCTGTCTACCAGAATTCTTCAGCCTAAATAAAACCAGAACAATGACAACACCAATAAACATGATAACACACAAAGGGGGAAATCTCACAGAATCCATCCCTAAACAACATACTACAGACAACTAAGGGATGCTGAGGGTGAGAGAAGTCATCTTCCTCCTTGAATGAGTCGACTGATTATCCAATACCAGGTAGTCTGCCTTGAAACCATGTTATTCAAGCAACAGTGAACAGATAAAGAAGATTGTATATCTATATTAATGAGAGAGAGAGACAGAGAGACAGGACATTAACAATAACAACTAAAGAAAAAGATACAAGAATTTGAGGGGGCAGACATCAGAGGGATTGGAGTAAGATAGGGAAACGGAGGGAAATGATGTAATTATGTTTTAATTTTTAAAAAGTGTGAAAAATAAACTTCCTTATAGTCAAGTATCAAGGAAGTCTGTTACCAGTCTCTTTTAGTTTTATATTAAAAGGTTCTCAGAAAAAGACATATAGACTGTTAAAAGGAAGA